ATCTGAACTACCTGAAAAAGATATCTCAAACGTGGTGGTCCAGTGTAGGTATAGTATTCTACAATAAGCTGTCGTGGTTTGTATCTGAACTACCTGAAAAAGATATTTCAAACGGGTGGTCCAGTGTAGGTAGTATTCTACAATAAGCTGTCGTGGTCTGTGCTTGAACTACCTGAAAAAGATATCTCAAACGTGATGGTCCAGTGTAGGTATAGTATTCTACAATAAGCTGTCGTGGTTTGTATCTGAACTACCTGAAAAAGATATTTCAAACGTGGTGGTCCAGTGTAGGTAGTATTCTGCAATAAGCTGTCGTGGTTTGTGTCTGAACTACCTGAAAAAGATATTTCAAACGTGGTGGTCCAGTGTAGGTAGTATTCTGCAAATAAGCTGTCGTGGTTTGTGTCTGAATTACATGAAAAATATCTCAAACATGGTGGTCCAGTGTAGGTAGTATTCTACAAAGCTGTCGTGGCAATATAACAAACATACTTGCAGGGAGGTGAGCACTCCGCCATGGATTGGACACACCGAGCGAAGCGAGGTGGCTTCGGGAAACTTCCAGCCATCCGAGGTGCGTCCAATCTCGGACTCACCGAACCTGCAAGTAAGTTTGGTTTTTATCCCATGCCATTTCGGTAAAATGTACTGAAGAATTTACGCATTTTGGTATATAATTACTTGTTTGGATATAAACGAACACTTGTTTGGATATGAACGAACTTAGGCTTAAATTGAAGGCTAAAGTCAGAAATTCTCTACAATATTCCCTTACTCTGGTCATAGTGGAAATACGGTCAATCATAAAAACACGCTTTAGAAAACATGTTATAATATGAATATAATAAAATGAAATATAAAACTTATAAGCATTTTTGTTTATATTAGTGTACCTTTTCGTGGTTTTGTGTCTTTCGCCCTTTACGCTGTTTTTAAATTCTGCTCAGTGACCTTTTAAAGCTTTGATCAACCAATTAAGCTGCAACTCCGTCTAATGCCAGACGATTTTGAACTTTATTGGGAATACTAACAATAACGATAAATAGGTATTACCCAAAAGGAAACGTGCGAACGGGTCAGAAAAAGCCCATGCGAGGCACCTCCCTTTACAAAAAAATTACATTACACTATAAATTATAGTCGAGGTAAAGCTCGATTTGCGCATACCCACAAAAGATCTCCCAAATACGTAAAATGCAGATTGTGGAAAATTTGTACGGAAAATAAAACTAATTTGGTTTTGAACACATGTGACTTGGGCATGTACACGAAACGAACTACTTCAATCAAAGAACTGATTATTTTAGTTTCTGTGACATGGGCAGTCTCGAACAAGAGACCAGGTACATGGCATGTCTACGTCAAAAACTGAATTACGTAAAAACGAATAAGTCCGACGAAGAAAGTTCTTAAAAGTAAATAATGTCACGAAGCTATTATGTGATGCAGTTCTACACACTACGTTCCATAAATGAACTGTTCCATTAAAATAAGAGTTTTTAAATGTAGTTGTTCTACATAACGGCACTTGAAGTAATATACTAGGATTTAAGGTTAGTCGAGAACGGCCATGACAAACAAAACTAACATAATTGCCTATGTCTAAGTCCACGTAACCGTATAGTGCCCCATAAAAGAAGACCAAGTCTTGGATTTCTCTGTCATAACACAGCGGCAGCATGTCCAAAGTCTGAAGTCTCTCCCGGTATATCTCACCCATTCCCGATCTCAGGATCCACCCCGTCGCGCGCCGTTGAATAATTTTACAACGGATTAAGTTGTTTTGTCTCTTTATGCCCTTTATGACTGATGAAAAACAAAACATAGAAACATAGAAAACTGAAATTGAACAGTAAATATATATAATATTGACATTTTAGTGGTAGTAGTTACTTAATTTTATAATTAGGTGCCATTGCTGTTAATTTTATAGAATTATTATATGGGAAGCATCACTTCCGGTGAAATGGCGGACTGTAAAACAAAAGAGCAAAATTAATTTAGAATTTTAATTTAATTTGTTATTAATAAGATATCTGCGAATGGTTTTTAGTGGAAAAGAAGGAATACATTGGTATTTTTTGTTTTCTTCAACCAAATGTGTACCACGCTACTAATATGCATTTCAAATCATGCATTTCTTGTTTGTTAGAAAGAAAAGAAAAAGAAAAAAGAAATGCCTACGGTAAAGTAGATATGCCTACGGAAATGCCGGTAATTTGTAGTATTAATTGGTATCTTAGTAAGTTAAGTTTGTGATTTTTTATAAAAAGTTACTTTAAATAAGTTAAAAAGTTTTGCCTAAAATAACTTTATGACTAACTTCTTATTTAATAACCGAACGCGAGGTCTGCACAAAGAAATATCGGACCGAGGTCTTTTTTGTACAGACCGAGCCCGTAGCAAGTAACGTTAATAAAAAGTTTATTATAATGCAATTTATCTGTCTGTACAAACCACAAACACATGAGCTTTTATTTGGCCTTATATCTGCAACAACCAAAATGTTATTAAATTTGTACTTTGCTATATATAGAAATATGATTTTCATTCAGTAGTGTTATTGAGGTCAGTGTGGCTTGTTGCATTTAATACCGCATCCATGACAAACAGACAAATTCTCCCAATTTTCAATCTCGTCAACAACATCAATCCTTTGCATGGTATGTTTAAGAATCTTCTTAAGAGCCCCCACATTATTTTCGTGACTTGATGATCCCCAGATATCGAGTACTTCTTTGGCAATCCCCACTCGCATAATTTCATATTTCTTTTCAATATATGCAGCTGTTGTTTGGTCGAAGCCACCTAAAGCGCTCAAAAGTGGTTCTTTGCTACTATCAGCTAAGTCGAGTAGTTTGCAAATTTGGCGAAAACAACCAAATTCGATTTTACCAATGGGCCATTTGTCCCGGTCACTTGAAAGCGGTGTTTTGTCTTTTGAAGCACAAGAACTACACATAGGGCTTTCTTTCGATGACCTCTTGCTTTCCTGTGTAGGTTTTTGTGAACCAATGGTGTCTATAATAAAAGACAAGATAGAATTTTCTTCAGAAATTTTTTTATTTCAAAAAGTTGGTAAACCATGGAACATTGTTTTCTAGCCATGTTTCTCGAAGCTGAGCAAATCAGGAAACATTGTTTCCTAGCCATGTTTCCCGAAGGTGGGCAAACCAGCTAGCATTGTTTCCTAGCCATGTTTCCCGAAACAATGTCTGCTACAGCCTTATTCTCGAAAGTGGACAAACAAGAAACAACTGTTTCCGCTAAAAAAGTCACATGGAGAAACAAAATATGTTTCTGAATTTATTGGGAAATATGTTTGCTTCGCTGGACAAACAGCGAAACATTCAAGAAAACTTCAAGATTTTCAAATGTTTCCTAATTTGCCTATAGACTATTACCCCTTAATAAACATAACTATATGATGGCACGTGTAGTTGACCAACTATTGCAACAGCCGGAATAACCAGGAGCGAAACAAATGACAGCTTAAGTTTTTTAAGGCCTGACTGCACAACGACGAAATTCTTCACGAGAAATTGTGTCTGCGAAATACGGATGGTTGCACATGAGCGATTCCATTGAATTTTCCAACTTCCGCTTTCGCAGTGACTAGAACTGACTTCTCTACCCACTGGTGAACCGAAATTTTTTCTCGCGAAGCCTAATTTATCTTTACTGCGCATGCACCTAATTCATTTCGCCCAAGAAAGCGCACGTGGAATCAGGCGTTAAGAGACACGACAAACCATAGCGCACATGTCATAAGTGTATCAGGCGTAGAAAAACTACATTCACGGAAACATAAAAATATTAAAAAGGATTACCTGCAACTGGCTCTCGCTAGTTTAATTAACGAAGCGTTTCAGATTAAATTTTACATTAAATCAAACCTCGCAAAATAACATAGAGGCATTCACCCCCCCTGGAACATTATAAATTTCAATAAGTTTTCAGGAGGGTGACTGCCTCTCTTTAGGGCACTTGCTAAGAACATGGCGGACTGAAAAAATTCCTTATACTAAATTAACCTGAACTGAGACGTCTGTATGTACTTCCTCTTTCGTTGCTGCATGCATGCATGTATTTCTGCTATTTTGTAATGCAAACTGAAATCTCCACTAACGCAAGTCAGTTTGACAGCTTAAATTAACCTTATTCAAATTGCGACTTGATAGCCCAAATGAACCTTATTCAAATATTATAGTATTGATTTCCATACGGGTTTCCATTCAGTAATTTATCAGTTTACTATTAAATGAAGTACTGTATTTTGTATTCTGTGAAGGTACAGCAATAAAGGAATACCGAATGGTTTTCCGTGCAGAATTGCGTGATCCATGCACGAGGGATGTCGCGAGACTTTCGGAGAGTGTATTTTTACACTTCCGAAAGTCAAGCAACATCTCAAGTGCATGGATCACGCTATCCTGCTTGGAAAACCATTTGGTAATTGTTTTATAAAATAACTATAACAGTAAAACAATGACATTTTGAGAATCCTGCGAAAATCCCGCGAAGGCATTTTAATTCCTCGTGCAGGATAGCCTGATCCTGCACGGCTATTGACGAATCAAATTGCGTGTTTCACTGTAGTTATTATATAATGCGTGTTGTTACACTGACAACTACAGCAATTATTATACATATATGTCATTTACTGCCTGCGAGGTCCGTACGGATAAAATATTTTCCCGAGGTTTCAGAAGCGGCCAGAGGCCGAAGGATTTTTTAGTACGGACCGACTAGCTTAAACGGTAAATAACGTTTTTAATTTTGATGGTTCACGGTTATAACGAAATTCCGACAAAATTCCAGTTGCGAAGTACATTTGAGATCAGTTGCGTTTGTTATTTTAGTGCAAACATGGCTGAAAAACTGCTAAAACTACGAGCTGTCTTCTACAATAGCTGCATCAGGCACTTGAAAAATGGATGAAATAATTATACATTAAGATATGGACTTTGATTTCGCGATGAGTTTGACGTCTGCGTTGTTTGATCGTGGAAATCACATGATAGTTAGTCATTATATAAGATTCACTTTCTTCCTTGGCAACAAGCCAACCTGTACCTGTGATGGTTGGTTCATCGTCATCTTTGTTCTTCAAGGCAATCATATCGACAGATTTACCACGCTTTTTCAGTCTTCGAACTTTGTTGGCTTTTTTGTTATAAAAGGAAAAAAACATAAAATGAAGATTTTGATAGTTGCCTATAGCAAAGTTATGGTACTAATAATTATAACAACAATAACAAGATGAGTACTAATAATTATACTAACATCAAGATGAGGACAGGGATAAGGATGACAGAGCGCGATAATTCGCGTACTTACGTACCGGAAGTACGCCAATATTACGGTCCGGTACTTCTTTGTTTTCAACCATGCAAGTGCCACGTAGGTACGCGGAACTCTTGCTATCGGCGTACTTACATTTTGCTGGTACCACATGACCTTTCCAAACCCGAAGTATTCAAAACTGCAATTTAAGTTTGTATGTGCAACTCTGACATATCTTGGCATGAAACATTATTGCTCTGATGGGACGAAGGAATGTTGGAGTCAACTGTATGTTAGTGTAACTATGTAATTGTTGTCCTTGTTCTGACTCGTAGTTTTAGACTTACTGAATGAATACCTTTCTGAAACCTGTACTATATGTACTTCATTTTGAAGACTAAGTACACCTTGAGTCTTAAGTCGTACCAGTTAAAGTAAGCGGGAAAAACACATAATTAAGCCCCGTTTACACTACGCTCAATTTTTGGTACGGCATGGATAAAATTGGTACCCGTACCACTTTTTTGGTTCTTGGACTACCATAGGTAGTGTAGCAACCACGACAATGCACGTCAATGGTTTTTGATTCGCTAAAATACTATGTTTTCTTGTATATAATCACTAGATAGACATTTCTAATGATCCTTGTTAATAAAATTCAGTAACGGTTGCGCAATTGCGATTGGTCTTGAAACTCCTGAAAGGATCAAGATGGCGCCATATTGGGGGATCCTTTAAACGAGTTTGGTGACCCCAACTTTTTTCTGTTTTTGCTATGAGCACATCATAAACTTCACCCCGGGAAGTTTCAGAATCACGTTAAGTCGTACCAGTTCAAGTACGCGGCAATAACCATTACTGTAACTGTAAGGCACGTTTACACACAACGATCAATCGGGCCGATTTAGCTTTAAAAACGATATTTGAAAAATACGCTGTCAACGTCATCTGAAGACATCGTCAACTGATAACATTCGTCATTAACATTCGGCAAAACCTAAAATCACAGAGTAGATACATATACAGAGTTGTAACTAGTGTACCCACTTTTTCGTGCGCATGCTCGGCAAGTTACTAGATGCATGCATCTGATTGGATGACGACTCGCTTTAACTGCTCGCGGAACTTGCCCAGCAGGCGCAGTTGATTATTTTTTGCCCGGTCGCCTGAAAAAAATGGGTACATCAGGGGCGTAGGATGGAAAGTGCCTTTTTTTGTGATGAAAAGTTCCCTTTTTGTACAAGCTAATGTCGCTGTAAATACTAAATTAACATCAAAGGTGCCCTTTTTGTTTGGAAATTTCCAAGTTTTTTTAAAAAATTTGGTCAAAACGTGCAATTTGGGTATGGTACGACGGGAAATTTTTCTCTTCCCCTCCCACCCCCCCCCCCGGTCGCCAACATTTCCGGGAGAAAATTTTTAGGTGCCCTTTTCAATACCCTAAAGTGCCCCTAGAAGCCGGTACCCCCCACTCTTTTGATGCTTCCTACGCCCCTGGGGTACATGAAAACGTAAGCTTCCACAGTGTTTGCAGCGGTCAGTTACAGCTCTCTATGTACTAGATAAAACATGAGCAGCCGATCTGTACCTGATATACAAACTCGAGCCGAAAGTTTGTATATCAGATACAGATTGGATGCGAATGTTTTATCGTACTTAAAAATTACCCATCTTATGAGTTCATTGGCGAGTAATTTTAAGAATAAACATTGTCTAAGCCGAGAAAATCAAAGCTGAAGTTTATGTAAATCAGGACAAATCTTTATCCGATTTACAAACATTGATTAAACATTCGTTTCTTTTGTATTTTCCTCGTGAATTATTAATTAATTTTTTAAATGTATTTACTCTGTGCTAAAATCGTCCCGATTAATCGTGTGTAAACGTATAGCGTTAAGCCCGTTCTCCACTAGGCGAATTTATTCGCGCGAACAGATAAAAAGTAGGAAGCGATCCTACTTTTTCGCCGCGAATTTTTTCGCCGACCAATCACGTTGCCAGATTTCGGTTTTCGCTTCGCGTCGCGCGAACAAATTCGCGTAGTGGAGAACGGGCTTTAGAGTACCAGTCAGGTACGAACTTAATATCGCACCCTGGATGAAAAGATAAAAATAACAAAGAGAATAAGAACAACGATATGGTGAAAGATAACACTAAAAATCACAATAAGGATGAGGATAAGACATGCAGACACAGACACACAGACAAACCATAGTCTATCAAGATATGATGATCTGGAAACTGAACAGAAGTCATTGTGTTATGTTTTTATCTGAGTTTATGTTAATTTGTGCAGGGTCACCGTGATTGAGCTCATTGTATTTTCGTATAATGAAGTAACCGTACAATAAGGATAGCTGAGATGAAACGTGCAACCACGATGAATAATATTTAATGAAGTTGAGACAAAGGATTTGTGCACGGTGAGGTATAGTTCAACATCAAACAAAGCTCTTCTATTTTGTGGTTTTGAAGTTTGCCAGGCTTCCAGACCATCATATCTTGACAGACTATGTACAAACGCAGATAAAAACATAACTTCCTGGCGGAGGTAATAATAGGGACGATTATTTTAACTGTTCATACCGGGCACATATCCGTTGGGATTGGAGTCTCCTATCGATTGAGAACCTGTACATAATTTAAAATTACATATTACATATTACATATTACAACAAAAACATGCCTACAAAACTTAGATAATTTTGTGTTTTTAATTTAAATCAAGGATCACACAAAAGGTTTTTGATAATACTTTTATTTTAGCTACGTTTCGGATAGTTTACTATCCGTCCTCAGGCTAACAAATTGTTCTTACATTTGACGTGTACAACTTTTAAACGTTCATCTTTCGCAAGCTAATTTAAATTAAACTGCGTGCGCGCACGCGCGCGCTCGTTTTCCTAATAAAGTATTTGTTTAATATTGGTCTCCAAGTCATCAATGATTCAAAACTGTTTAAAACTTTCTTTTTGTTATGCCTTACCCTAAGAGACTCAATTCCTTCTATAACTTTCCGCTGTCTTAATCTATACTCATTTCTCAATATTCGCGTGTTCTCCCAGTCTATTTCTTCCGTACACTCTATACTGTGCCTTGCTAAACCTCCGTCTTCTTTCCCCATTCGTTCTTCTGCCACCGCCATTCGTCCATTTCTCATATCCTCGTTTGTTAATCTTACTTTGCTCTCGTGTTCCTTCTTTCTCACCTTAAACAACCTCGATGTTTCTCCTACATACACCGCTTTCTTGCACTTGCATGGGATCTCGTAAACGACAGATTTTTGTTTTTCGCCAAGTGGTTGTTGAGCTCTCGCCTTCAATTCCTTTATTTTATTTCCTGGTTTAAATGTCGTCCGAAATGAATGTTTGGAAGCTAATCTTTTCAGTTGTTCCGATAAGCCCTGGATGTAAGGTACAATTATCATTCCTCGATACTCTTGCTCTTCCGACTCACTCCTTTCGCGTTTATCCTCTCGCATGTATTCTCGAACCTTCTGTCTTTCGAAACCATTTGCCACCAACACATCTTCTACGTTCTTTAGTTCTCCCTTCAGGTGTTTCTCATCACATAACGCTCGCGCTCTGTCTGCAAATCCTTTGATGATGCCTTTTTTCATACAAGGAGGATGATTCGATTTCGCTTTCACATTGATGTTGGTGTGTGTCTTCTTATAATGAACCATACACTCGACTTGTTTCGTTTTCCGGTCCACTTTTTGTTTCAAATCCAGTACTGGCAACGTATCTTCTACTTGATTTTCTTTCGTGAATACAATGACGTCTGGTTTAATGCTATTCAGGTGTTTGAGTATTTCTTCGGATTGATCTTCCTTGCACTTCATTTCACTGTCGTCTACATACCAATACCATTGACCTAGGGGATATGGAGATGTTTGCATTGCACGAATTTGAAACTCTTCCATATAGATTATGGCGACCTCACCAGTTACTCCAAGACCAATTGGTCCACTTTCTAATACGTAATGCTTGCCGTCAAACTCACAATAAGACAAACCAAACATCCATTTCAATATTTCCATTACCGACTGTACGGTTAAGTCATGCAGTTATATTTACTAGGGTTTTACTTTCTCTTAACAACTTTTCAATCAATTTTAATGCCTCATCTATTGGAATCGATGGATATAAGAACTTAGATACATGAGGAAAAATTATCTACAATACTTATGACTAAAAATTCCTATGGACTGCAATCAAGAACAGGCCAACTCATCGGTTCCCCCGATACCTCTTTAAAGAGCCATAGAAATAACACAACAGCTTAAAGTCCCATACAAAAGAACATTTCTTTTCCATGTTCAAAACTAAAGCTTACGTACTACCAGCTTTTACGAATTATATCCAATAAAAATGCTGCAAAAAGTTCTGATAAAAACACAAACGATACTTACAAAGCGTGCACATTCAGAAATATATGGTCTTCTAAAATCGGAAACGTAAATTGCAAACTATATAATGTATAGTCAAAGTCTAACCGTAACCAAACAATTACCTGAGCTTGAAACTTCACTTGAGGTTTCATTTGGCCATCTAAAGTTCGAGCTGTCTTCTACCATAGCTGCATCATCAGGCACTTGAAACAATTTAAGATATGGACTTTGATTTCGAGTAGTGCAAATAACACTTTATGAATAAGCATAGCGAATGAGTAAAATATTGCTTTCACCACGAGAATATAAATTTCAGTGTACAGTGATAACTAATTTGTGCAGTGATAAAATGTAAAATGAGCTGTGATGAAATTTGCTGTGATAAGTTGTTATAATTAACAAGAAAATCAGCAGGAAATTCGTTTCGACACTTGACAGTATTAATGAAAACATTTTGAATGAGAATAATTTGAATGAAATTGAAATGGTAACTGCCAAATTATCGAACGTCCGCACTAATATTATATTTAAGGTTCATCAGATGAACAATGTCTCACAGCAAAGATCTCTTTACGAGCTTGGAAAATGGAGTGAATGATACTTAACGTTTTGTAATTAGTGTATAATCTTCAGAATTCTATAGAATGTCCCCGTATATTGAAGAAAATGCCCTTTTAGAGAGCCTAGATTACAAAATGTTCTGTGGGTGCATGCCCCTGGAATTCCTCTAGAGGTTTGTCACGCCTAAGCCGCCTTTCATTTGCCAAGACCAATATATATCTTTCCTCGGAAACGTAAATTGCAAACTAATGTATAGTCAAAGTCTAACCGTAACCAAACAATTACCTGAGCTTGAAGCTTCACTTGAGGTTTCATTTGGCCATCTAAAGTTCGAGCTGTCTATTGCCATAGCTGCATCAGGCACTTGAAAAACGGATGAAATAATTATATATAGGGGATATATAAGGCTGCGCGAATTACGATATGCATTCTATTTCGAGTAGTGCATGCAAATAATACTTTATGAATAAGCGCAGCGAATGAGTATAATTTTGCTTTCACCATGAGAATGCCCTTTTATTATTTTAGAGAGTCTAGATTACAAAATTTTCTGTGGGTGCATGTCTCTGGAACTCCTCTTGAGGTTTGTCACGCCTAATCCGCCTCTCATTTGCCAAGACGAGAATGTTTCTTTCTTGCAAGCATGTGATTATGAAACTAAGCTGTCTTAGATAGTCGTAACTGCAGATGCTGTCAAGGCCCCACAGAGGGATGGAGGGGGCAATTTGCCCTGGGGCCCCAGTTAAAGGGAGGTCCAAATAAAAAATTACAGTAAGATATAAATATAGATATAACTTTCAACAGACTTCCAGAATGCAGGATTTGACCATCTCTGGGACCTCCGATTTCAAAACTTTCAGGGACAATGCCTCCAGACCCTCCTAATCATAGTTTTAGAAGATGGAATCGCCAGGGGGCCAAGACATTTTGTCCTGAGCACCCAAATTTCCCTGGGTGCTGTTCAGTGTATGTTGGTTTTGGCATTTTTGAATATCAATTGTAGCCTGTCGTGTGGTTACACATTATTATAAGGGTGTGTTCAGACATTTTCAGGGTGTGCTTCTGCTCGGCAAAACTTTGCACAAAAATGTGCAGGTATTATTATATAAATTTTTTTAATAAATTAGGTATGATATAAAACCATGTATCAGTTAATAAAACAACACAGAAAACAAAACAGCATTCATTGTCAAGATTGAAGACACTAGACTGGAGTGTGGAAACGTTGGGTCGTGAATGCAGTTCGACTGGGCTTTGCATTCATTTATCAAAACCAGAGTAGCGAGCGAAAACATGACTGATATTATACCTGGCAGCCGTCAACTCACAAACTTTAACTCATTAAATTTATTAAATTCTTTGTCAATAATGTTCACAAAATCAATTTGGAAAAACAGACTAAATCGAACACAATTGCCAATTGGTCAACCCCGAGAACTAGGTTCGTTTCTCCTGGCCAAACAAAGTGTGCAACTACAATCTAAAATTACAAAACAACGCAATTAATTGCATTCGATTGCAATTGGCGATAATTTCAATTGCACTGAAATCATATTTAATATTTATTTTATCATATTTAATAATTAGACAACTTATCTAATTTTTAAGTAATTAAAAAATTGTCAAATAAACATTTCAAATCTGCCAAAGTAAAAACACGTTTAGCATTAGCCACTTACCAGTATGGAGCCAAATTTTCACACTCTTTATGTCAAACACCTTGGACGAGTGTTTGTTCGACTGGCAAACATATACAAAGGATTGATCGTTGTACAATCTCTGAAGGTCACTAAGCTTCAAGAAGTGGCGGTGCCCACAACGATCTGAATGACACTGAATCTCATCATGACGAGAACATTTTCTTTCTTCTTTACCAAAGCAGCCGGTACATTTCACTTCGAAGTCATAGCTAGTCATGCTGAATAATAGTTGATCTGGAGATTTAAGGTCGTCCAAGCACTTTTTCAAGGTGGCTAAGAGATGACTGGCAAAATTGAAATGGTTGCCATCCTGTTTTGGAAAAACGACAACCTTAATGACCTCGTGGAGGTCGATTAAATAAACATCATACACGTCGCCGTTTATAATAAGCGGAAACAAGGAGTAGTTGCAGTAGAAGGAAGGCTTGACTTGTTGATGGTGGAAGCGCTTTTTCCACTCAGAAATTAACCTCACTTGAAGCTTCGTAAACAGGCCCATCGGTACAAGTTGGCGAGGAAATGTCACAAACAGCGATGGAACATTGCTAGCTTCCAACTCTTTTCCTGGTATCATAGTTGGAGCAACTGAAGGGACATAAAAAGCTGCCTCTCCATCGTGCTGGCAAGGACAAATCAAATTAAACTTTTGCATCAGCTCCTCCAAAAGTTCTACGCCTTCCAGCTTCTGAAGATATTCTCGAAACAAAATGCCGTTCCGCCTGAACACATCAAGAGCGTGCCTGGACAGTGCATCCAATTTGACAGGCATGGAGATCACTTTCGTAAAGCGATTCATTAGCCAGTGCGGATCCAATACAACCTTGCTGGATCCACTGTGGTGTACGACCACACCTTGGCGGTGTAGAAATTTGATAGCTTGATCAAACTCCTCAACGTCACAGGCCTCCGCTTCCCGCTTAGCTTCGTCAACTGGGATATACTTGCAATCTGGTGATAGCTTCTGGCTTAGAGCAACTTCAAAATTTATCCACTTCACAGGCATTAAAATCTCTTGGTCAAGGACTGCATTCGAGAGGTCAAAAAGCTTTCTACGAAGCTCTCGCACGTCGTCTCCGTCGTCGCTTTCCAATGTATTGTCGATCAGGAAAACCCCAGGAATGACATTCTGATATTTTCCTTCAGACAAGACCTTCTTGATTCTATTTCGTACGCTATCTATTTTGCTGTCGTTGCCTTTCACCTTATCATTGTGAGTTAAGGCTATTAAAATTGGTGGCAGTTTAAAGTTCTCACCTTTTGCAGTGGTACAATGACCAGATTTATCAGGAGACTGTTGATCTTGGCATTCTCCTAAACCCTGCAGAAACTTCAACCATGATGAAAAATTATCTAAATTGGTATTAAGATGATGATTGTTCATTTCTATCTCTTCCTCCTCATCACTTGCTTTAAACCTGGGAACGGCGGGTTTATCAAACTCCAGAGAAAGGTTGTGAATCAAAACATAAGGGCAATGCGGTTTCACAAAGCAGCCATGGGTATCGTAATAGATTGACTGTCCAGCAAAGTCACTTACAAATACCCGAATAACGTCTTTCTGGTCGTGTTCAGTGGAACTCTGCGATTTGATTTCGAAGATTTCGTCTGTTGATAATGGCTTCAATTGCGCATCCCCTTCTAAATTGCTCTGAACTCCTCTATTAACGTACTCGGCAGTTTTTTTGTATAACACAGTCTTTGCCTCACTTTCACTGGTCATAAACTTCTTCACTTCTCCCTTTCTCCAGGGATCTTCTGCATTTTGTTCTGTTAGCTCGATAACATTAACGTCAATACCAGTGGTACTGGGTTGATCTTTGTTGAATGGTAATCCTAAAAGACGTCTCATCAGCGAAGTCTTTCCGCCTCGGTCTTGCCCGACCAGCATAATCGGAATTCGATTATTTTTTGCTTCACCTTCTTGGAGAGCTTGCGAATATGCACGCCTATATTCGTTCTCTTCACGAGCTTGACGAAATAAAGTTAAAACAAAACTTAGTACAACGTAAAATGAAATATAACCTCCATCAAATGCCCCTCTATAAAGCGTTCCCTCCCCTCTACCAAGCGCCCTGCCCTAAACGTATAAGAATTGTTTTGAAGTTTTTAAAACAAAAATTACAAATTCTTGCTTAAAACATCACTCTGTATGTTCATTGTAGATTTGTAGTTCCATACCTACTATTTCAAGAGGAACAAAGTCACGGGACCTCTTAGTTCAAGTCGCCTATTGTTAATTGGCGCCTTTTATTTTATTAATGTAATTATAAATATCACGTGGAGTTCTGTTCTAGCTCTCTTGCCTAGATAGGGTAGCCTGAACTAAATTTTGGGTAGATGATATCATCAGGTTGTTTTGTGGAAGCCAAATATACAGGTCCAGTGCGCACAGATTAAAGTACTTTTCCATCGGGCCTCCAAAAACATGCACCAACACCACTGCTGATCGGGTTTTTACGGAAAACATCAATGCCAGACTCGCATATTTTGAAATCAAGAAATATATTAAACCATCGGTAAAAAGTATCAACCGTAGATTTAAAATACGGTCGAGTGTCCTCAGCGTGAAGACAGTAAATTTATGAAGGAAGATCAGCTGTTTAAAGGTAGTAGTTGTGTGTTGGTTTTACAGAGGATTGTGGCAATGTTCATTAAGTCAAAACAACAAATTCGAGAACAACTTCAATTAAAAGCCAAAAAGCAAAGTTCTTCGTTGCGACAGTCTTTGAATAAAGTGGCTAGCAAGAAAAATCAAACAGCCTCCAAGATTCAAGACCAGGATGATGAACTTGTTAGCGCTTTCAGAAAAAAACATGGCAGGTCCATCTCACGTTGCTATATTCTTAACCAGTGCTTTTGCAAATCCAGTAAATGCTTCTTGTGTGCTTAATAGCTTACTTGGAAAAGAACTTTGCAAAATTTATGTTGGACTAAAAGCATGCAGCTACGCAAAACAATATACTGTAATACTGAATAAATTCTCTATTAAGCCTTAAAAAATCCTCCTTCATTTTTGCTTGAGACATTTTTCAGCCGCTCTCTCTATTACCCCTCCCCAACAATTGTACCTGACATGAATAAGCATTCAGGGGCTGGCTGTTCAAGAGCCAATTCGCTTAATCCTGGGTTAACGATAACTTCAAAGCAATCTTTCCAAATATGTACTTGTTTATAAACATGGGGACATAAAAATCTCACTACTTGTTAACAAGATGTGTTCGCAACAGGCTTGTAGCAAGCTTGTCAATAAGTTGTAACAATGCTGTTATTTTATCAAGTTGCTACAAGGTTATTACTCACAACTTGTTGAAAAATTGTTACTGCCGGTTTGTTACAACTTGTGCGTTTTACGTGTATAAAGACCAATAGCATACGAACACATAAATAATTATAATTATGTCAGTTTGCTGCACGAAAAGCTTGAAGCAAGAATGAAAATAAACTAAACTTACAGGTTCTGTTAGGGACTAATTGTGGTGGATCAGTAGGACAATAAGAGGAATTCATTGGACCATTTTGAACAAGTATGGGCGGTTGATTAAATTGCATTAGTTTCATCATTTGCGCTTGGTGGAACGGGCTAAACCATTGCGGATGAAGCCCCTCTGGGTAGGGGTAGTGACCGGGTCGAGGGTACCCCTCCAAAGAATGCTTGTCTTTCTTGTGTTCATGAGAATCGATAACTTGTTTTAACAAGCTGACTGCGGTTGGAGGTTTATCAAATGAAACATGTGGCGAATGGTTATCGGGTCTCCTGCCTAGATCATCAGAACTGTTCGAACACATGCTGTCACTATTTCGCTTTCTCCCAAATCCAGCTTGGGGTACCTTATGTTTTGAGCTCAATGAGCTTGGACGACCTTCATCTCTGTCAGGTGTGAAACGTCCTTCAGATTTTGCAGTTCTCAAAATCTCTGTATCTGTTTTGTGCGTGGCTGTGGTGATCGGGACGGGTCGCTCTGGGTTTGGATGGTAGTTTTCATAATGTCGCTTCAAGGAACGATGGTCGCAGTAACTCTTGTCGCAATATTTACACTTGTAAGGTTTCTTGTCTCGGTGGGTCATCATGTGTCCATTCCTACAGAAATAATTTCATTTAAAAATTTTGTTTATTGGATCATCACAATGTCAAACAAGTTGATGATAATAACTTCAATACATTTTAGTGAACATGCCTTTAATCCTTTAAGGTGGCTCGATACACTTTTAATTCAGGTGTTCAACACTTTGAGATATTCAAACTACGCATTTTTAGGATTTATTGAGCAGATATTGGTGTTTTTTTTATATTTTGATTTCTCTACTTTCAAATTATATTAGTTTTAGTAACAGATAGTCCGTTGCTATGACGACATACGTGTACGAAATTCACTCCATAATGGCCTATCGCCTCGTATAGTTGGAAAAGAAGCATGGTGACCCCCAATTTTTTTCATGCATTATTTTACTTGGAAGAAAAACTAACAATTAGCAAAATATTAAAAAATTCTGTAATGCCATTTTTTGGAAAATGCGAAAATGTTACTCTTCGGTAAAATGTTTTTGGCATTACAGAATTTTTTTATTTTTTGTATAATGAAAGTTTTTAGCGGTGCAATACAATATGCAAAATTTGAACATATGAAGATGAAGGTGCTGAATAGAGAGATATAGCGCATTGTTTTTCTAAAATGGAAAATTCTAATGACGTCAGCAATTGACATAAAACGCTATACAGGGTGTATAAAAAAAAAACTGAACAGATTTCAAATTGCTCTCAATTTCGCAAAACACCTATTTGCATCTGGTTTTTTATATATATAGCTTCTTTGGGTACTTATAATGTAAAATATTGAAAAAAATTTCTCGGTCTCAAATTTTGTGAACCAGGGGTGTGTGTCTTTTCCAACAAACTAAAAATGGCTCGCGCACAAAATTTAAAAGCTGTAATCATATTTTGAGTTAATAGATTGAAAATTTGTCGGGTTTTTAATTCCTGTACAAAATTTCAGATAATTTGGTTTAGTTTAAGCCCTTTAACTATTCATTTTGTTCCAAAAAGTCAGCCTTTCGCATGCTTAATTAATGCCTTTACCTAATTTGCATATTGCTGACATATGCAAATTAGGCAAATGCATTAATTAAGCATGCAAATAGCTGATTTTTCGGGAAAATTGTAACTTTGCGTGAATAGTTAAGGGCTTAAACTAAACCAAATTGTCTGAAATTTTGTACAGTAATTAAAATCCCGACAAATTGTCCATCTGGTAACTCAAAATATGATTGCAGCTTTTAAATTTTGTGCGCGAGCCACTTTTAGTTTGTTGGAAAAGACACACACCCCTGGTTCACAAAATTTGAGTTCGAGAAATTTTTTTCATTATTTTACATTTTTAGTACCCAAAGAAGTTATATATATATAAAACCAGCTACAAATAGCTGTTTTGCGAAATTGAGAGCAATTTTAAATCTGTTCAGTTTTTTTTTATACACCCTGTAGAACACGCGCAATGACGTGCGATGGCGCGAGCAACTGCTCACGTCAGGTCATTCTGGAAGTTCTTTGATTTTGTTAATCAGTTTCCGCGACCTGCGCGTAAAAATGGTCACCCGGTTTTGTTCGCGATTCTTGAGCAGGGTTTTTGTGATAACTATATCCTGTTAACCCTTTAACTGAGTTGCAATGTACCCTGATGTGTTCTACTTTATTATTTTACTCTGTCTAATGCCAGACGATTTTACTCGTGAAGGAAAGAGTATATTAATCCACTATAGTCGCATGTGAGAAGCACAGGTTTCCTTAGGCTCTTCCCAGAATGCCGGCTGGTAATCGAGCCTAAGGTTTTCTCTGAGTACTGTGGTTTCGTATTTTAGTAATACAGGATGGCCTTACTGGACCTCTAGGGCGAACAGTTTGGACAGAATTGATAAAGCCATTCAGCGTCAGTGAAGTTTAAGCTTATAGTTTAAAATTGTCGGATGAGCTGCAATTATTTGAGCAACACAACATGCACAAAACATGCAAACCATCCTTTAGTTTTCCCTTCCTTAAATGTCCTCTTGTCTTTAATTTGTCACAAGAGAAGAAAAAGAGTGTACACCCTAGTTTACACCGCAGGTTTTCTCTGACTACTTTGGTTGTCTCTCGTAGTAACACTGGACCCATTGAAGGGAACTCGATGCAGACATAATAGACCTCGTTATCTATGTTTTTGTCTTGGTTCATGCAAGAAATAATCGGTTCATCGTTATGTGTGTATTGTATTTCGCTAGAGCAACCAATAGCTACAGGTGTATTTTCATTTAACCATTGTGTAATATCACGACTGGGTAATTAAACCAACACACTGCTATTGGTTAGTTGGGCGAAAAAACAATACACACGTGACGATGAACCGACCATTCTTTGCACCATTTTTTCGCATAAACCAAGGCACAAACATACCGTAGATAGTGAGGTCTATTATGTCTGCATCGAGTTTCCTAACCTTCACATTGCTGCGGAGCGAGCGAGCCTGAAGCAAGCGAAGCAGCAGACTAATTTGTGCAGTAGGTAGTAAAAAAGCAGTTTTTAGCGTCGCATGGAATTGTGGTCGTGCGCATTTGTATGCGCAGTTTTCATAAATCCGTCTCACCTCACTACACATGCGCAATTAAAACTCACTGCGTAGCCACCAATATTTCTAGCGGGTCTTCAAAAGTGGACATATTTGGCATGAAGTGATGTTTCATGTATACGTGGAAGCACAAGTATTGAAGGGCCTTCGGCAGTCCGGCTTAATATCAGTATAGCACAAGTTTTCAAAACGATTCGGCGTTCTAATTTTCGATCTTTTTGCATTGATTCGTGCGTTGTTCACTCACTGGACTTTGGCCACTGACAGTTCTATATTTTTATAAAGTTTGGTTTCTTAGTGTAATAAATCTGTGTATATAGCCTATATAATATGGTAAATGCGCCAAGCAGTATTAAAACAGACTTGATATGAAATCTGATAGCAAAAACTTATATAACTAGGGGTTACTATCGCAAGGAAAGTGCTGCTTTGGATCCACAGGCAAATACTGAAACCCCAAATATACTAAAATACAAAATTATTTTCATTTGGCTTAAAATACATTTACATGTACCCATCAGGGCAACCAAGAGGGGGGGGAATTGGCCGAATTGCCCTGGGCTCCACCTTAATAGGGCCCCAACATGAGAGCGAAAGCCTAAAATTGAGTAGGTTCTTTAAATTGGTCAGAGAATTTTTGAAATTGAGGGCCCCTTACAATACATCCACATGCAGTCTCGTTAAGGTCTAGTTGGGTCTAGCTAATTAGAAATAATGATTTAATGGGGCCCCCAGGGAAGATTTGTCCTGGACCCCACAAATTCTCTGGGCAACCTTGGTACCCATACAAAGAAACACTGTATGTACGATTTATTTCATTTCAAAAATTGAGATTACAACACTTCAAAAACTGACTGTACAAAAACTATTTCAGGTTTACAAACTAACATATTCAACATATTCAAATTAAAAGAAGAGAAGGAAGAAGAGAATGATGAAAAAGACATGTGGACTAAGTGCACAAAATACAAATATACAATACACACACGGTAGAAGTAAACAGACACATAGACAGAAATGACGATGAACATAAAAGTACATGAGCACAGACAGGCACGCAATTTGCATTTTTTGAAAGAAATAGGACTGGAAAATCCGTCTCTTATATAGACTTCTCTTACATAGAATGTTCCAGGGTTTGACAATAAAAGTACATGTAGTTGAACAGAGGAGTTTGAAGGACAGCACTAACAACCTGACTACGTTGTGTACAACCATGTTCAACAAAAGAAACAAGAGTCATAACTGTTCATGTTAATGTCAATATAGGGCCATTGGGTCATTCCAGAAAATATCCATACCACCCCACGGAGGAAATTGGAAGTTAACCCTCCTACCCCCTTCGGATGTCCTAATACATTTACTATTATCAGAAACAATTCCGTCTCCCCTCCCCCTCTGGACGGCAGAAATTTCCTCCGTGGGGGGAGTATGGATCTTTTCTGGAACGACCCATTCCATTTAATATCCCACCCCTTCCCTCCCATGGATTAGGTCAGTAAAATTTTAACCCCTACAAAACCCTCAAAAATGTGTAAATTTTCCCCAATACCCCTTAGAAAAATTGCAGAGATCAAGGATGCCGGGCGACAGGCTTAACCCCTCAGAAACAACTTCAAATGTAGTCACCCTTCAGAAAAATCCATCCATAGGGGGTTTGGACAATAGAATGGCCCATAGTATACTATATTTTTTTGAAGTAACAATCCATAGAATATTTCGAGCTGTCAGGATGGCACGACTTGTTGGTGTAACTGTATAAATCAGCACATAAATTCCAATGACTTTATGCTTGTGTATATGCCTCAATTGACTCCACCAAAAATATGGGCCATAAACACATTTTACTACTAAGGTTCCAATGACCAGATGTTATCTGAAGTAACATAATTTGGAATGGAAATTAAATATACACTCTATAATCTATATATACAGTTCACTGGATATTATACAGTTCACTGACACTCGGATTGAGAAGATATTTCAGGATGATTGAATACGAATATGCAAAATAAATGCAAAATAAATGCAGATTAATCTGTGTATTGAGCAATCATGATCAACTATTTAGACTCAATACGTTAACTGGCAAAAAACGAACATTCACAAAGTAAACAGAGCTTGTAAATATATATATAAAATTGGATTTTACTCAACTTACCTCGAAACATGCAACTCTGTGACAGCTCTCCGAAAAAGGACTCAAACTCTCAAAGGAGTTCGGGAAGCATCGATAAAAAAGAACCGCACCCCCCACTTTTTATAATAACTTTGCATACTTAAATACCTCCGGTTTGAAAATCCGGACATCCATTTGAAAATGCAAGTCGAGATTTGGAACGCCTTTCATAACTCGGCCAAAGACACTGGGCACGAGTGAATGCGAAGAACTTCATGTTACGTCAAGAATAGTGTGCTGCTTGCCTGAGGGCAAGCAGCAATTAATTTACCCACGGGCTTTAGGACAAATTCAATTCGACAA